AGCCCATCCCACTGCAGTCCTCAAGTTCATCTAACGCTGGCTAGGACAGGTTATTGTCTCACTTCAGTTGGAGTTCCCCCTAGAGACTTTGGACGTTGATCCTGGTCACACCTGAGAACAGTTCTACTCAGACCTCAGCTGTGCCTTCAGGGAGTACTGCTGAACAATCCTTAGTAAATTCCTGGGCCAACAGGCTCATCATAGAAAAGGACTTTTAGGAAGCCTGGGCCACAGTAGGGTATAGGCTATGCCAACTTGAACTTGAATAACTTGAAAGCAGCTTTTCTTAGGCAGTTAAGTGAAAAGATCCAACATTAGAGAAACAACTGTTCTCAATTCAGACCTTTAAGCATAGAACAAAATACATATGTTGCTTTTAAAATGCAAGGCAATGAAGTAGAGCACTTGTGAAGTTTCTAACTTCAAATGACTCATACTTGCGTTCAGTGGGTTTTTAAGATGAAACTCAAACCATAGCAAAACCATTGCTATCAAGTTGATTGAAGTGGCTGGTGGACTCAAACCACTGACCTAGTGGTTAGCAGTCCAGTGCTTGTCCTTATACTTCAAGATGGGCTACCCCAAATTCAGCTGAGGTGTACTGTGTCCTATTAGGATCAGAGTATCACTGGAGAGTGTTTCTTCCACACTAAATGTGAATACAAATGAAGTAATCTACAAAATCATAATTACTTTTAGGTTATAAGATACCTTAGAACATAAACTGAGTCCTGGTGTGGTGCTGTGGGATAAAGCACTAGACCACAAGGTTGGTTTGAACCACAATGTGGGAAGTTCAAACTCATCAGTGGCTCCTTGGAAGCCCTATACAGGGTCGCTATGAGTCAGAACCAATTTGACAGCACAAGGGTATAAACAGGAGCCCAGTGACTCCATTGGATAAGTATTGAACTGTGAACCACAAGGTTGATGGCAGTCCACCAGCTGCTCGGGGAGAGAAAGATGCAGCTCTCTGCTCCTGCAAAAGATTTAGCACCTCACCTTGGAAGCCCCATCCAGGGTCACAATGAATCAGAACTGATTCTGTACTTCACAACAAAATGTATCAGAACACACTCCAGGGTACTTAACAAGGACATAAAGCAGTTCCTGAGAATATTTTGTTTTGTAAAAAGGGTCAGTGCAAATGTGATAAACCAAAGAAATGAGAAACTCAGTTGGGAATATCCAAATAGAGCCCTTCGGTGCACCCTGCCTTTCATGTCAGTCCTGGAGTTGCTGAAATGTTCAATGAGACTGTGCTAGTTATCTCCAGTTCCACCTCCATTACATTTATACCTGACTTTTCTGTCCTGTTCTGTTCCCCAAGAGCTGCCCTTTCTGGGCTGCAGCAAGTATACTGGGTATGGGTAAGTTGCTCCTCGGAAACCTATACCAGGTCTCTATGAGTTGGAACCAACTTGATGCACTTTAACAACAAGATCAAGCCTCTGACTGAATACTGA